GGGTAGGGGTGTAGGGGATGATTGTGCAGTGTGCCGAGTTAATGTTCGCCGGGAAGCCTTTTCTCTGTGGCGGGCGTACGTGTGGGTGGCACGCCGGGGAGCGCTGCTACCGCGCCCACAAATTTGGTACTCGGAGCCAAAACTTTCCTCAAGTTGGCGCGCCACGGTTGCACGGCGGGCGCACTGCGCACTGCTGCGCCTCGACGGGCCGTAAAGAGGCGAGTTTACGGTTGCCTCCCGGGTGTCACCCGCGCCGCGCAGCCCCCCCCCCCCCTCCCTCGAGAGAGAGGCGCGCGAGGCGGGCGGCGCTTTCATGTCAAGTCGATTGAAGTTGGCGGCAATGTGTTTTAATTTAGCAGCACGCCGGCCAATCAGGTGTCACCCCCGGCCCCGCCGGCCACGCCCCGCACCGTGGGGCCGCGCAGTCCAACCCTTTGCGTGTCGGTGGCGTCCGCTCGGGTTGTGCGCGTGCGGGAGAGACGTGCGGGCCAGAGGGAGCCGCATTCTCTGCTGCCCCACCATAGCGCTGCGAGGCCCGCCCGTTCTTTGTTTTCGCAGCGCGCGCGTGTCACTGGCCCGCATCTGCCAGACAGACGTGTGGGAGGGGCGGGGCGGGGTGCGGCTGGCGGGGACGCGACGGGCCCGTCCTGTCGTTCCGCCGTCTGGCCGTCGTATCGCTCGGGGAGGGCGTCGGGCCGTCGGGCCGCCGACGGCTGCGTCAAGCCGTCGTTCCCGCGGGCACGCACACTCCCATAGTACCAGGGCCAGGTCTCGTGGACCGACACCCGCGGTGTGCTCGGGCCCCGGGTGCCAGGCGGTAGGGCATTATGCACTGACAGGTGTCGGGGGGAAGGGGGAGAGTTATCTTCCTTCCGCCCTACCTGTCAAAGTTAACGCCAATGGCTGAACTTCGTGAACAGTGATCGGGCGCCGGGATGGGCGTGACGTAGCGGTCGGTGCCGGGCCCGCGCCCCCGTCCCCGGACGACCCCGTTGGTGCGCGGTCGGAGGCGATCGTCGGAGTCCCGAGCACAGACCCATGTTCTCTTCGCTGCGGCTGGCGCGGAGTCGGAGCACCAGTAGCACGACTAGCTGCACGGGGGGCGGGGAGAAGGAGGCCACCGTCAACGGCGACGTCGACAGGCACGGCGACAGGCCCGGGCACATCGAGCGCCACGTGTACCAGGTGACGCCGCAGGGCCCGCCGGGGCCGCAGCGGCCCAAGCAGACGCACGGCGCGCCGCTCAGCGGGGCGCCCAAGGGCCTGTCGTCCTGCCCCACGTCCCCGCTCCTCTCGGGCAAGCCCCCCAAGACACCCCGCAGCCTCGCGCGGAGGGGCTCCTCGAAATGTGAGTCTGCTGTGTACGGCGGCGTGCTCACGGCTGGCTCGGGGCACGCCACGTGCTGGGACAACAGAAGAACCAGAGGTGGACCAGGTGTGCACTTGTGTTTCAGGGGGCCTCGACAAGGCGCTGTGCCCGTCCATAGGCAGCCTGCGCGACCGGGCCACCCTCGGCTCGCGATGGGACGACGACATCATGGTGGACCCCCTGCGCGGCGGCGGCCGTGGCGGCCGGAGCTCGTCCGACGTGTGCACGTGCTCCAAGGTGACGCGCTTGGCCGTGACGAGGGAGGACGGCTGCCTCGGCATCACGGTGCGGGGCGGCGCGCCCGCCGCGCTGGTCATCTCCAGCGTGCACCCGGGCGGCCCCGCCGACAGGGAAGGCTCTATCCGGCCCGGTGACCGCCTGCTCGCCGTCGACGGCACCAACCTGCAGCTGGCTGACCTGTCCACGGCGCACACCGCACTCCGCGGCCACAAGGCAAACCACCAGGGCCATCACCAGGGCCACCACCCGGGGCACCGCGCGGGTGACTCGGCCGTCGCCGTGCTCACCATCGAGTACTCGGTGTGCGTGGTCGGCGCGGTGGTGGGCGCGCAGGGGCCTCTGCTCGTCGAGCTCGCCCGCCCGCCGACCCACCAGCTGGGGCTCACCCTCCGCACCGACCGGACCGGCTCCAGGACGGCCGTCATTGTGGACGACATCAAGCCGGCCAGCGTGGCCGACAGGTACGTGGTACAGGAGGAGGAGTGTAGACCGTTCCAGGGGCGCTCGGCTCACCCAGGCACTGTCCGCAGGAGCGGGGCGTTGCACCGCGGCGACCAGATCCTGGCCGTGGATGATGTCCGCGTGGAGGGGACGGACCTGGTGGCCGGTGACGTCGCGCTGCTGCTGGCCGGAGGCGGCGAGGGCGGCGCCGTGTTGCGCTTGGAGATCCTGCCGGCACACTGTCTCCGCCCCGGTAAGTATATGTGGCTTCCTGTTACAAACTACGTCTGAACCCCGACCAGACTCCATTCACAGGCCCATGGTTGTCTTTGGCTGCAGCGTCACACCAGCAGTTCGGCGGCGTCCACCAGCGGTCACCCTGCCCCTCCGAGTCGGAGCTCTCCGCCTACAATGCGCTGCGCTCCCTCCGCAGCTACGACAACGGTGCGTGCGCACACCAGGGACGTGTCTTTGGGCTGAGACTCGGGCTCGGCGCACCGACTGACGGAATGAGCATTTCCTGTTTCAGGCTCACTAGCTAGCAGCGCGGGGGGCTCCGGCTCAGCGGGGCTGGTGAGCCACACCGAGAGCCTGTCGGTGGTGTTGCACCCCGAGCCTCTCTCCGGGTACGGCCTTGGCGTCCGTGCATCGGGGGTGTCCAGGACTCCCACCGTGAGCGCGCTGCACCCGGACGGGCCAGCGGAGAGGTATGCAGTGGCCGCCGAGTGGCGACGCAAGTATCCCTGCCGCTGCAGCTTCCTCCCTAAGCCATCTTTCACCACAGCTTCATCTCGCCTTCAGGTCGGGCTGCCTCCAGATTGGAGATCGCATCCTGGCCGTCGACGACAGAGAGGTGGATGCGGAACAGCTGGCGATGCTGTTGGACAGCCCTGGGCCGCCCTTGGCGCTCACGGTCACGTTTTCAGTCGCAGAGTCAGTCGTCCCTGCCAGTGGGGTGTTCACGGTCAAGCTGGCCAAATGCAGGCCTGGCCTCGGGATCACCATTACAGGTAAGTCATCTGACGGTCTGCTCCCGCAGGGCTGTTCTCAGAGTCTCAGCCATTGTTGCTGTTTCTTGCACTTTCAGGCAACAAGTCCGGGGAGTATCTCTACATCTCCGACATCAAGCGCGGATCGGTGGCGCACCGCTCGGGCACGCTCGCCGTCGGGGACCGTCTGCTGGAGATCGACGGCCTGAGTCTGAGCGGCCCGAGTGGACTCGGTCCAGGTGGCAGAGACCTAGGCAGGGCCTTGGACCACGCGGCCCGCATTCTGCACAACAGTGGTGACGTGGTGACGCTCAAGGTCCTCAAGGACGAGGTGCCGTCAGGTGAGTGGCGTGGCGAGCGTGGAGCCTGCAGCCCCGGGCCCAGACCAGAGACGCGAGGCGTCTAAGGGGTTGACTTTGTCCATGCTTTGTTCACAGAGTTGTCCAGCAACTGGAGCGGATGGGGGTCTGCAGCTGGTGGCTGGGTGAGTGGCTGGCCACGCAGCATCGAGTACCCCCTGGAGTGCCCCGGTCCTGTGAGCCCCGCCGAGTACTCCATCGAGTACACCGTGGAGCTGGTCAGACACGGCGGCCCTCTCGGTCTCACCATCGCGGGCTCCGAAGACCCCTCAGACTCAGTCACCATCTCCGGCCTCACGCCAGGTGGGTCTCTGTCTCCTGCCCGGGACCGAGCGCCGCCAGACTTTGAATGTTGGCGCGCTCCCCCCCCCCCCCCCCCCCCCTCCCCACGCGAGGGTGGTGGGGACGGTGCCGACGTAGTGTGAGCGCAGCTCAGGCGTTGCACTCGTTTTGGGAGTCATTTTCAACAAAGCCTTCGCAATGCAAAATTTTACTCGAGAGAAATGCAGCTAAAATTGCTGAAAAATGCAAGGCTGCTGCAGCGGATATCTTTTCGTGTTTGTAGCATTCTTAAAACACCTAAAATGGGTCGTCAAAAGTTAGCTCTCGCTGACGTTTTCGCGTAGGTACCTGGGGTATATATACATTGGTCCGCGACGAGTGTAAACGTGTTGTATGAAAGGAGAGACGGTTAGCACTCCCCTTGACAAGGATGGAATACACATATATGGCTGAGGCACCCAGCTACTCGTAGCAACTCAACCACATTTTTATTTTGGCACAATTCTAGGAGGTCTAGCTGAACAAACCGGGGCACTTCACGTTGGCGACCGTCTGCTCGCCATCAACTGCGAGTCCCTGAGGGGTCGCCGTCTGTCCGAGGCCATCGCGCTGTTCCAGCACTCGGCCGACGTGGTCACGCTGAAGATCGCCCGCGGGCGCCCTGGGGCGCACCTGGCGCAGCGGGATCGCATCCCTGGCGACCACTGTAAGTACTCTACGAACGAAAAGTGCGCAACACCGCGGCTGGGGAACGTCATCCTGGCCATGGCCATGACCCGCAGGTCGTTTGGGCGGACTGGCCTCCTCTCCATCGGCACCGCACCCCGCCATCCCGTCGGTGGACAGCGCCGTCGAGTCGTGGGACTCCTCCCCCTCGCAGCGGAACACTTCTCCGACGGGCACGCCCTGTCCTGGAGGGCCTGGTGTGGGGGCCAGGGTCAGGCTCACCCCGCTCCCTGCAGGCCCGCTAGGGCCGGGACCCCCCGCGGGGCCCGGCGGCGGCCCCACGCCGGGCCAGCCCCTCTCGCGCAGGGCAGGGAGCTGCCCCAGCCTCGACTGTTTGCTTCAGACGGGTATGTAACTGTACGGGTTCGGCACGGTGCTCATATACAATGTGTGCGTACTAAACGACTGACTCCGACTCCACAGAAACGACCGGCAACAACGCTGAGTGGGACGGGTCCCTAGAAGACTTGGACTCGGCAGCAGCGACAGCGGCGGCCACCCAGTCGCGCACAGTGGCTGCTTCCTCGGCAGACATGGGTGCGTTAGCTATTGGTAACTTTCAAGTTCTCCGTATTCTCAAAGCTTATTCAAAAATACTGAAATTGATTATCTGCCTACAGCTGACGACTGCGTAGCCATGCCACCCTCCTCCCCGATCTCGCCGCCTGCCAACTTTCGGCAAGGCCTCATCCAGGGCCCATGGGACGGCCACGGTCAGGGCCTGGGTCATGCGCTGGAAGCGCCCCCGTGGCCGAGACCAGGGCTGCGGCCACCCCCTTCCCCCTCGCCCGGAGTAGGGCGCCTAACCGCCGCCAAGGCGCTAAACAACGACTGGCAGCAGCGACAGAGGCAACAGCAACAGCAGAGGGACGCTGCCGTGGACAACCTAGTCACTTCAACGAAGTTGTCTTCATTCCAGTGGACCAACAATAACGGATCTCTGCAGCGACAACGGGAGACTGACTCAGCCTCGAACGACAGGTAAGGCTCATACAGTTGCAAGTGTCAACGTCGAGCCACACGGTTCTAATAAACCTCCATTTACAGTTCTCTGCGCAATCTGGACGACTTCTCAGAGCTTAATAACAATCTCCTGAGAGCACGAGAGCGGTCCGTGGGAGGCGGTGGTGCTCAGCTACATCAGGCAGGAAGACATTTCATTTTCAATGAGCAGCTCGACTTGGAAGTGAATAGGGGCAGAGCCTCATCCCTGTTACTTGAGGAATCTGCGGCAGAGGCCTTGCGACCCAAAGACCTAGATCAGAGCCTCCAAAACCCCATGGAACTATATCAGGTAAATCAAGTTTTTACTCCAAGGTTTTCCACTCCATTTTAAAGAAATTCAA